GAGATATAATTTCCCATCATCAATTCTTCTAAAATAAGTTTGACATTCTCTCTGGGAGTCCCTAAAAATGTATTAAAAACAGTCTAGAAATAATCTGCAGATCAATTACAAAGCATGAAATTCACCTTAAATTTTCTTTGAAACTTCATTCGATAATTCTACATAACATTCACTTGAACTCTCTTTGAAATCCACTTAAGAGTTGTCATGACATTTTGCTAATAAATTTTCTAAAAAATTCTCTAGAAATTCGGTTTGTGATGCCCTTGGAATTCCCTTAATATTATTCTAAGAATTCCTTAGGAATTTTACTCTCTTGACGATGTTATATTTCACAAAACACACGATAATCAAGAGATAATAAGTCTGCTCAATATGATAGGACCTGGTATTTATTGAAACTTAAACTCGACGGCAGTGCCCTTCACACAAGAATAAGCTTCAACGACCGATGATCTTTTAAACCTGGACCAAAAAAAAGTTACGAAAAAGCACTTATACCTTCATTAAATTATACCTACTTTTACGCGTTTCGATTTGGTTCTTACGTAAGACGGGAACAAAATCGATAAAACTTTCACATTTTTTGTTCGTGTTTTTTTTTTGGCTACCGTGCCCCTTGCTTCACAAAGTAAACTACGACTGACGCAATGATTTTACCAGTGTACAAGTATTGCACATCTTTTAAGCTATCTTGACCGAACTCTATTGCGTTTTAAAACGACTGTTTTCTCCTTCATATTTCACCGGAGCGCCCTGATTATGCGTCAAACTACCGCATCAAAATCACCAACCCACATAATCAAACACGACCCGCCGTGACTACCATCAGTCTTCATCCACCGCCCTCATGTTCGCGTTAAGGACACACCTAACAAAACATCAAAAACTAATGCTTCTATATGAAAAATAAATACAATAATAATAAACAGTTTCGGCTTGGGAGTCTGGCAATCACTCAATCAGAACAAATTAATTATGTAATTTGTCCCTACGTGTCGGCTCTGATTAGGGCCTTCTTCAGGGGAAAAATTGTTGGATTTGTTCTTTGTCTAAATACTGTTTGAGTGGCTATATTGATAGCCACCATAACCCTCGAAGAGTGCAGAACCGCAAAAAAAAATTTATACCCGACACAAATTATATAAAAAAATAAAAAAAAAAACTTTGAATATTCAACTAAAAAGCGCTATGTATAAAAACTTACCACAAGAAAAACAGACGTTAGACTTCAAACAGTATTTAGACAAAGAACAAATCCAACAATTTTTCCCCTGAAGAAGGCCTTAATCAGAGCCGAAACGTAGGGACAAATTACAAAATTAATTTGTTCTGATTGAGTGATTGCCAGACTGCCAAGCCGAAACTGTTTATTGTAAAACCTCACAGTCGAACACTACAACACAATATAATAATAATGTATAATTCGTAGGCATCTAACCGTAAGAAACAAGAAACATGCCTCACGCGATCGAGGTCATCCCTCTGGCAAATGGGGAACGAGGAAAATAATTCTCGATTACTCCCCCGTAGGGACGTATCCGCTCCCACAAACAATGCATCCGACCAGAACCAAGCGCAGCCTGAATCTCTTCCACGCATCCCAAGTAACATTTTTGGTTTTATGAGGGTTCTGTAGCCCATGATTTAGGTTTTTAGGATGCTATAAAACCTCTATAAACCTTGCAATGTTACTTGGGATGTCAACACCACCAGCAGATAGGGGAAATTTTCCTCTACCTGATAGGGGAAATTTTCCTCTACCTGATAGGGGCACCAGCACGCATGGTCTAGCCACCAGACACACCAAACTGACCATCAAACACGCTGCCCACAAAAGCAAGACACGTCCCTTCAAAAATGCATTCGAGAAATGTATAAGAACAACCTCCAACTGGAACGTACTCACCAGATCAATATATCTGGGAGCGCATTCCCTTTGCTTCCACGCATATTTTCCTCTAATCATTTTCAAACAATTCCTCCTCCAGCGATTCCAACCACACAATCTCATAGTGATGTTCTGGCTGTATAGCTTAAAATTTCCTGTACTCACTCATCTGTATTTAAATCCATTTTCTTTTCAGAAAAATTAAAAAAAGACAGGTTCTCCAATATGCGGAGAGAATTTAAGGACAAAATCTTTTTAAAATAACAAAATCCGAGCAACTTGAAAAAAAGCCCTTTTTGATAACTTGGACAACTTTCCAATAATATGCCTCTTCAACAGTGTTCGAAAAAATGATTCTAAAAAATATCATTCGTTGAGCTTCGCTAAGAGTATAACCTCGCATGCAAATCTGGAATACAAAGCTCACACTTGAGACTCTCATACATTTTCACTTAGACTGGCCCTTTTACCGCTGACTTGCTCTTGCTTGCGGCTGGTACCACTCACGGCCAGCGTCGACGCGAAAATGAGCGGAGGCTAGAGAGCAGCGCTCTTTTATTACTATTCAGGTTTTAGTAGAACAATGTGCAACCAACTCGATTATGACGACTGAGTATTGGAGGAAACGTTTATTGCATGAAAACAGTGATAAAATTTAAACATTTTTCAAAAGTGTTTATTTCAACAGGTTTGTAGAGACATTTCCTATCGATTGATGTAGTTAGAACTAAATTTCATCTATAAATGACAAAGTTATAAGCGTTCAAAACCTAGCACCTCTTCGTGACGGTCGCAATTTTAGATGTATCCCCTGTACGTAGTCTACGTCAAAACATAAACAAAGGGTGACCCCATACTTATGATCGGGAGTGTAAGTGCTAGATACACAAACTTAAATCTAATCATCTGTATAAGTAGGTAGTCTACTGATTGATGTGTTACAGGTAGTAACTTGAAAAACCAAGCGTGCCCGTTTCCTTGAGTAAAGTTGAAGCCCGTTGTTGTAATCATACGGTAAGCCTCTTGCTTATTATTCTTATTAAACCACCGGTATGTGTTCTGCAAATCAAGTTGTTAAAGATCACTAGTTTGTCCTGGATCTTTTTCCTTTTATTAAATCAAGCCAGTTTTGGAAAGACAGTTTAATTATCCACAAGTCATCCATACATCGCGAGAATGCCACTCATATATGGGTCATTCCAGCTCAAGTGGGTCCTGCGGTCGATGTCACCGATTTGAGCCAAACTAGGCCAAAACGCTTATTTTGGCATTCTGAACAAACACCTTTTTTTTTATTTTGCTCTAAAGTACCTAGATCCTTCTGGGCTACAACCCTGTATTTTTGAGATTTTTAAAAATTTCAACTTTCAGAAGACATTACTCGACAACCAAGTAAGCTATTCGTGATCTTAGAAAGTCAATTTGAAGGTTTTCAGTGTAAATTCTTATAAATGTACAAACATTTTGATTTTGTTATAGTAACTACAGTACCGGCAGGTAATATTTTTATGAAGTAATGAAATTGGGTTGTTAGCGGAATGCTTAAATAAAACAGCAAAAATCATTTAATTCCACCTAATTAATTTTGATATTCATGACAGATACGTATTTCTACTACAATGTGAAGTCTTCATCAGTGTCATTCCCACTAAAGAACTTATCAAAATCTAACACCCTTAAGTACTCATCCCCTGGTAAAAAAAGTCAAGATCATAGGTATAAAAATGAAACTACAATGTATTGAATCGGAACCTACCTAACTAATAAAAACCAAAGATTTAAGTAAACTATAGGAGAAAAATCTATACAACTCTCTAATAAGGAAAATCCCAAAGGCTTGGCAGCCATCATAATGAAGTAATGAAATTGGGTTGTTAGCGGAATGCTTAAATAAAACAGCAAAAAAGGGTTATCTTTCATTTAATTCCACTCAAATAATTTTGGTATCCATGAAAGATACGTATTTCGACTACAATGTGCACCTATGGATTTTCCGTATCTTCCGGAGGACGGTCCAGGTCCATATTTTTGTCACGACCACAAATTCTGTCTTATATCACAGTTCCTAATGTTTACAAAAAACGCGGAGCTTTAGACTCAGTTTCGGGGATTCCGGATATTCCGGATCTACCGAAGGAGCGTTCTGGTGTCTCCAGGATCCATATATAGGAACCATGAAGGTATTCTAACTAATTATGAACATTTGTGCCCATTAATATAGATTATAGATCTTAAATCATTTGCAAAAACCCATAAACACACTTTTAAGAAAAGTGTAACGACTAAATGCGAAAAGTCGCATTTTGGAAAAGTAGAGGACTCTATTCTAGAAATACCTCATTTTTTGAAAATCATCAAGAAATGGCTAAGCTATGCCTTTGCTAATTTGCCGGAACACGTTTTTTGGAGGCATTCGGATTGTTAATGTCATGGATCATATTCATCAGTAGGTTTTGATTGTTAAAATTTAAAATAATTTTAAATTTAGATGCATTTGGTATCAAATTAAAAACCTTCTCAGAGATGTCTGACTTTCTGCACTCTACCTAAGGAAAAGTTACGACCCATAGATTGAAAAACGCTGGTCTAAATGCATCCCTGGTCTACCGATACTTAAGCGCTGGCCAGACTGAGCAGTTATAACATGTTATAATGGTTGTCAAATAATTGCAACACAGAAACCACCATCAAGATAGCGCTATAACGTGTTATAACTCTGTAGTCTGAACAAGGCATTACACTGCAGTGATAACAATTCCTCTCTCGCCAGAGCAAGAGCAGAGCTTTACTCTCGTCCGACAAGCATAACGGTAGAGCTTTTGTGGATAAAGAGAGCAGCACCAAGGGGCGCTCTCTCCCTCCCATCTAAGTTGGAAAACGGGGAGGCTGGGTGCAATCCTATCTCTCAGAATCCCCCAGCAGCATCCACCAGTACAATAATAGTATCGTCCTTCTGCAAAATTTCCTTCTGGTAGATCAGTTTCCGTTGCACCCTGACGGCGACCGGACGGTGATCGGACGCGATTGTCGCAAACGAAGCTCGTTTTTGGCGGGAATTCCATTCGACGCGGGTGTGGTGACATCGTTAAGTGATAATTATCATCGAATTAGTGCCATTTTGGGCTGGTGTAGGCGTTTAGTTAGTGTAACAGCAGTTGGTTTGTTCTGATTTCGGTTGTGTGTGTGGTTTCCATTAATTGAATTGGTGGATCCCGGGGAGCTAAATTGTGTGTGAATGAATGTGAAACGGATACCAGTTCTAATTAGTTTTGATGTTGCTGTTGCTGTGAGCGGCAATTAGTGCTGTACCCATTTAGTTCTTTTTGTTGGGCTGGGTGCAGATAAGAATAGGAAGAAGCAAGTACGGAGCGAATGTTTACATAGTGAATCGTTAAAAGGATAAAGTGGTAATCACTGGAGGAAATGCGACCGCAGTAACAAGCCACCATTCGAGCAAAAACGGATTACAGCGCTGTAAAAAAGCATCGAGAAGGCAGAAGGGTGGTGGAAGCAGCAGCAGAAGAAGACGTCGCCGTAGGAAAAAGTTCGCAAATGAACAAACTTCATGAATTATGATATTTGGATTTTCAATTAAATTGAACAAGGTGAGAGGTGAGCCTTGGCAGCAGCTGCTTCGGTTGTTGCCCTCGGCGACAGAATGGAGATACATTTATTTAGGATGATTTATATGCCTCGTAAAAAGTAGCCGATGGAAATTGAAAATTACGATCCATCATAATTTCTTTCCAAATAAATATTGCTTGGAGAACTTCAAGAGGCCTTCAAATTTCTTAAATCTTTAAAAAAATCCATTCTCAACCAAAGAAAACTTTTCAGGAGAAATGAGTGGTACCTACCTACTTGATGGTCATGTTTTTGACGTCTGCTATTTCCAGCGAACAAAAAAAAAGACGGATAAATGTTGATCAACTTGCCAAGCCTACGCAGCCAGTGGGAAGTTATAGGGAAAAAAAAGTTGCATAATTGATTTCCAACTTTGGTTTCCTTTTTTGTTGCTCGGTTTGGTATGCCAAAATGTCCATTCCAGTAGGTTTGCGATCACAAAAAACTTTCCACCGGATTGTACGTCGGAAGCTCACCAAAGCTCACAGGGTGGCCCAGGCAGGGTGCAATAATGCCCTACACCAATGACACCCGCCTGCCCCAGACACAGCGGAGAGGGATGAATATTTGATTTGGTCCATGAAAGACCCAACCCCCCCGTTGAGTGTGTACAAACAATTCAACAAAATGAATAAAACAAACTACCGCACACAAGAAAAAAAAAATGGGCAAAGGGATAAATTCATTGCCTTTTTTGTCCGGAAATATTTCACTTTGGTCAACATTGTGCTATTGAATTGTGATTAAACGAATAAAAAAAAAACCCTTTCACAGATGGGAATTTAACACAAAAGCAAATAGGACAGAGTGTGGAAATCAAACACCTCAATTCAATTTTTTTTTTCTGTGGCTGCCTTATTTGGTTTGATATGCAGAAGTGAGACTTTCATTAAAAATATTTACGATCAATCATGAGGATTCGTATGTCGAAAATAAATCCACTACAAAGCAATTACGGAACAATTTTTCAATTGAGTAGGACTGGAATTTTCGCAGAAGGCATTAATTGAGTGCTTGTTGATCTGCAATTCAGTTTGGAAAACGACTTTTTTTTTTTCAGAATATGAATTGGCTTCATTTAAAAAAAGTTCTTTCGTTGTTTTTCAGAAAATCATTTCGCAGCGAATAACTAGCTATGCAAAAATCGCGAACGAAATGGGAATTAAAATTCCAGAACGAGATGTGCGACACAGAGCAGCAATCGATTCCGAAAGAGAATTCTGTGTTTGCTCTACAAACCTACTTCACAAAAAAAAAATGCGAAACGAGCTAGTTGAGTTCCATCCAGATTCCCGAAGTTGGTAAAATTTTACCGGGTTTTTGAATAGAAGAACAAGTCGGTAAATTTTACAAACGACCGTTACATGTGAGAAATCAATACAATTTGTAAACTGAACTAATTACTGATTATTGGATTTTTCACTGATTTTTAAACTTTTATTGAACAGTTCTGTAATTCACAATTTGTCAAACGGTGGAGGCCTGGATTAGTGTCCTCATATCCACAGGCAAAAGAGTACGCATTGCCGAAAGCATTTCCAGGCGTTGATGTGTTCTAATGCAACATGGGGCTTTAGGTAGTGATAAACGTCGCTAGAACTATTCCACAACCGCAGACAGTATATGATCAAGTCAAGTATGCACTTTTTGCCTTTGGATTTGAGGAAATACCTCAAATCCCCTCATCCATCAATGTATGAGCTAGATAAAGGAGTGTGCGTTTGATTGGTATTGTCACATTAATGGCCCTTCGCTCAATTTCAAATTCTGATCATTTTTCACACTGCCGTACTCTAGCGGAACTGTCAATGTATCCTCTTAGGAACCTTTTCTAGCTTATTAATTATCACACTAAAGCATCATGTTGAAATAAGTATAGCATTTGCTCCCAACTTTGAAAATCGTAAACTTCACTTCCGAAGTAACAACACACTTTGATTGAAGGTTTCATGTGTCATACACAATCTTTACCTCCTTTTCATGCATCTTGCATATAAAAATATTGTTATAATATTTCATAGTTTAAAAATTTAGAAGGTAGCATTTTAGCTGTAATGAGCATTTGCAACTGGTTCTAAGAAATATACTGATTTTTTACGATATTCCCTGAACCTCTACTAAATACCCTTAACTGTTCTCGGAGCAATTTTTGGCTGAACTTCTACAAACTTCCTTGAACCTTAAAAACAATACCAGCACTTGTATGATGTTGCGTAATTTGCTTGACTTCTACAAAGTTCTCGGAATTACTTAAAAGTTCGCTGCACTCTTGCAATGTTCCCTGATTTGTTTAGAATGTAATTGATAATCTGCGATGTTTCTTGAAGATCTACTAAGTTTCCTGATCTATTCTTCTAAGTCCATTAAACTTCAACGAAGTACCCTGAAGTTTAAATAATTCTCCAATGAAGTTATTTAAAATTTTACAAAGTTCCCCAAACTTGTTCGAAATTTTCTGAATCTCTTCGAAGTTGCCAGAAGTTATATAAAATTTCCCGAATCTTAACGACGTCCCATGAACATTCACCTAGTCCCTGATGTTTCAAAAAGTCCAATGAAGTTACAGAAAAAATCCCTGAACTAAGTTCTCCAAATTTCTACAAAAATCGCTCAATTTCTCTAAAGTTTGCCAATTTTCAACAATGTTTGATGAAGTTCAATACAATTCTCAGAACTTCTACAATACTTGCTGATGCTCTACAACATTCGTTGAATTTCTATGAAATTCACTGAGCTTCTAAAACGTCTGCTGAGCTTTTACAAAGCTAGCTTAACTTCTATAAATTTTGCTGCACTTTTAGAAAGTTTTCAGAACTTCTACGCAGTTCAATAAATGTCTAATAAATTTTCGAATGATCTACGAAGCTTCATGAAGATCTAGGAAATTCCTTGAAATTCTTCAACCTTCTCTTTAATTATATTAAGTTTTCCAAGCGTCTACGAAGCTCTCTGAAATCAAATGATGCTGTTAACATGAACGAACTTCTGGGAAGATTCAGTTTTAGTAATCCCCAAATACTAAACACCTACCCAAATTTTAAAAGTTGCGGAGAAGATATTTCGTCGATCTCGTTGAAGATTTTTTTTTTTCTAGATACACCTGGCATCCCTGGGCTGAATAACTCTCACTTCATGTGAGTGTGATGAGGGCATCGTAAAAGTGAATGACGCACGTAAAGAGGGTGTAAAACTGAGAGTTCGCCACGTAAAATAAAATACGGGAACTGGTATTTGCTCAGGAATACTAAATTAATGAGATTTGAAAATGATTTTCCAAAAACTGCTTCTACTCGTCAACTGCATCCCGAAGATACGCATAGGTTCAGATGAGTATTCACTATTCGAAGATCGCCATCTTCATGGTGGGTTCACCCTCAAGGATTCTAGGATTTTAAGGTTCTATTAGTTGTGTCTATTCCGTAAATGCCTATATAGCGAAAAAGTCAAAAGACAAAAGGTCGAAAGACAAGAAGTCGAAAGACAAAAAAATTGAAAGACAAAAAGTCAAAAGATTGAAAGACATAATGTTGAAAGGCAAAAGATCGAAAGACAATGGTTGAAATACAAAAGGTTGAAAGACAAACGGACGAAAAACAAAAGGTCGAAAAACAAAAGTTCGAAAGACAAAAATTCGAAATCACCAGTTCGAAATACAAAAGGTCTAAAGACAAAAGTTCGAAAGACAAAAGATCAGATGACAAAAGGTCGGAAGACAAAATATCGAAAGACAAAAAGTCGAAAGACAAAAGATCGAAAGACAAAGGTTGAAAGGGATAAAAGTATGAAAGACAAAAGGTCGAAAGACAAAAGGTCGAAAGACAAAAATTCGAAAAACAAAAGTTTGAAAGACAAAAGGTCGAAGTACGAATGGTTGAAAGGCGAAAAGCTGATGTATTCAAATATTCTGAAACTGATTTGTCATGACATCAAACGAATTCTTAAAAATAAGATATGATTTTATACAATTTTGCCTCCTTCGAGAGATGCTCGACAGACACTTATTTATAAAATAAAGGATTTAGTACATCACAAAAAGTATCCTGAAGGAAAAAAAAGTAAAAGTTTACACTTTTCCACTTGATTCCGTTTCGCAAAGAGACTAAAACTGAGTAAAATTTAAAGCAGACAAAAAGTCGAAAGACAAAATGTCGAAAGACAAAAAATCCAAAGATGAAAGGTCGAAAGACACAAGCTCGAAAGGCAACAGGTCGAAGACAACAGGTTGAAAGACAACAGGTCAAAAGACAAAAGTACGAGATACAAAAGTTCGAGAGACAAGAGGTTGAAAGACAATAGGTCGAAAGACTAAAAGGTCGAAAGACACAAGGTCTCAAGACAAAAGGTTGAAAGATAAAAGGTCGAAAGACTAAAAGTTGAAAGACAAAAGGTTGAACGACAAAAGGTCGAAAGACAAAGGGTTGAAAGATAAAAAGTCGAAAGACAAAAGGTCGGAAGACAAAATGTCGAAAGACAAAATGTCGAAAGATAAAAGGTCGAAAGACAAAAGGTCTAAAGACTAAAAGTTGAAAGACAAAAGGTTGAACGACAAAAGGTCGAAAGACAAAAGGTTGAACGACAAAAGTTCTAAAGACAAAAGGTCGAAAGACAAAAGGTCAGAAGACAAATTTCGAAAGACAAAAGATTGAACGACAAAAGGTCGAAAGACAAAGGGTTGAAAGATAAAAAGTCGAAAGATAAAAGGTCGGAAGACAAAATGTCGAAAGACAAAATGTCGAAAGATAAAAGGTCGAAAGACAAAAGGTTTAAAGACTAAAAGTTGAAAGACAAAAGGTTGAACGACAAAAGGTAGAAAGACAGAGGGTTGAAAGATAAATTGTCGAAAGATAAATGGTCGGAAGACAAAATTTCGAAAGATAAAAAGTCGAAAGACAAAACGTCTAAAGACTAGAAGTTGAAAGACAAAAGGTTGAACGACAAAAGGTCAAAAGACAAAGGGTTGAAAGATAAAAAGTCGAAAGAC